CCTGTGTTTAAAAGAAATTGTCTGAGGCGATCCGAGTGTGTACGGTAGCGGGTAAAGAGAACAATAGGTGTCACTGCAGCATTACACAGAAGACCATTCGCCGGATTTCACTGGAAGTTAGTTACGCAACATTACGGCGACAGGTAGACTCTTCTTCAAAAAAGACTGAATTTGAGAAATTCAACACCAACACATCCGTAATATGCAATCTACAAACCTTCAACTTCTTCTTACATTAAATAAATATATTTTTTTAATATACCGACGTAAGAAAAAATTAACTATTAATGAAAAAAGAAGATTGATGTAAAAACCAACCGGGGAAAGGCACAAATTGTTTAAAGATGTAAGCAAAAATAAATATGAGAAGGGATACATTACATCCAAAGTTTTGTAAAAATTACTGATTCCTGATATTTTTTGTCAAGTCGTGATAGTGTGTGTGTGGTGGGGCAGTTGAGTGAGGAACTTGTTTGATTATCAAATCAAGTAAAAAATATTTCATAGTTTATTTCCTCAACTTTTTATCAGTAATTAAGAATAAAAATCAAACAAAATTTATATGCAGAATATTATGACAGTAAAAAAAAAAACAGCTGGAGTTTAAATATATTTTAAACTTTGCCTTGGTCGATATTGATTTTTTGGAGAGAGAGAGAGAGAGAGAAGACAGTAAAGAAAGAGAGGAGTGAGCGAAAGAGAGAGATGAATGGTTACTCAACACGGAAGATACTAGTAATGGGCACCTACAGTTAGCGAATAATCTTACTCTTATGAAAAGGAAAGATGTTAATGAAACATAAATCAAATTAATAATGATTACGGGTATAAATTGATCAAATGGACAAAGAAATTTGCATCATTCACAAAACTTGCACATTTTTATAAAATTCATATTTAAGTACCGGTGTACTATATACTTTTTCGTGTAACGTGTGTGTAAGGGGGGGGGGGGGGGTTATACATGTATGCTAGAGGGTTCGGAATAAATATTTTTGAGCACTGGTTCGACTGACTAATGACTTCCAATTTCACTACTTCGTAAAATAGTTTACCAGACAAGTCCACCCTCTACCTTTTTATTACGTTAACATCATAACACCCCCTACGCCTACCTCCTTTAATGAGATGAAATTTAATTTCAGCACATAAAATTAAATTAATCCCAATTCACCGATAGCTACAGGAGGAAATTGGAAGTTATGAAACATGTTATATTTTTGTTAAAATTGAATCATGATTAAAAAAATACTTTAAAATTAAGTTCAAAAACTAATAAATAGTGATCCAACCCCCTCGGCAAATTGAATGTGAATTTAAGAGAGAGAGAGAGAGAAGAAAAATATTGGAGAAAAATGGTGCATGTGCATCTACACTCGTCGGACTTCTATAGCATAATACATTTATTTAATATTTGTTAAGATGGGTTGTATAGGGAGTAACGTTGATGAACGGGATATATGGTGGACAATGCCTTTCTCAAAGAAGTGTTCAGATCCATGACCGATATATATATCTCAGTTGATTGACAGGTGGAGCACGTGGATGTAAATTAAGAAATTGGAAATTTAATTGTTTCGGGTTTTCAAGGTTAATTTTCACGATTTTGTTATCTGTTCAGAAATCCAGTTTTTACCGGTGAAGTAGTGTTCTACAGAAATCATTTAATAAATCTTGTTAAATTACACGTAAAATCGAACAAAATATGTAAATCGAATTTTCTTGATAGTGATAAATTAATAGTGAAGAATTACAAGTACGTTTAATTACATTAAAAAAATTTACCGGCAGACCGTGTATGTTCTTATCTGTAAATAAGCATTATTTTTTCACAATTCAAAAAGAATTGTTTCTACATATCTTGAACTAAGTATCGAAAATACAATCTGTTTATAATCTAAATATTTTTTAAGTTGCTGCAGCATGTATCGTTTACTCATTATTTGGTTTTTTTATGAATGAAAAGCAGTACATGTTGATGTCAATTCGACAACCATTGTGTTTTTATTACACACAGGCCAAAGACACTCGTTTTAAAAAGGTCATTATAAATCTCTACATATTGAAAGAGTTATTGCCACGATAAAATTATTTGAGAAAATTATTTTGAGAACTCTGAAGATTTAATAGCGTTTTCATATTTCAGGCAAACGGACTACTATTTAATCTTGAAAAAAAAAAAGGAAACTAAAGGTTTGTTTCATTAAATAGACTTAAAAGCAGAATTGCAAAATCGTTACCTATTCCTTCATCTAAAATTTACATGCATGTTTTAACTTCTAAACATTAAAAGCGATATATTTCTAACTTTCTTTAATAGACACGGTGTAACACGGGCACCGACACGGTGCAACACGGAGGGTATAATGGACGAGCTTCCTGGACACGGAGGGACACGGTGGACTTCTTGTATATTGAGAATATACACACACCGTGGCACACCGTGTACACGGTGTAACACAGAGCATTTCACGCGGTGTTTCTTCCACCGGGCGTTGCGGAAAACTCGTGAGCTGTACTGTACGTTTTATATATTAACTTTTTATAGCTTCAGATACTGTCTTATTATACAAATGGTGCATCCATGACTTTAAATTTCAATCATCACTTTGAGAGTCTAAACTACCTTTTTGAATGTTGCAGCAATCGCAAATAGAACTTCATTAGGTTTCGAAAAAATATTTCCATTCCATCCAACACAGCATCAATCAACGTTTGTTTGGTTGCACAGAAATTTTGGTCGTGAGCACACTTGGAAGAAGGGGGAGGGGAGCCATTCCTTAAATGCAAGGACTTTATTGTGGATTCGTGGTTTGATTTGTTCAGTTTTTAATGGTCACAAATACTGAATAGGCTTCCGTAATCCTTCCCGTTTCCGCCATAATTTAAATTTCTTCTTAAACAAGAGGCCCATGGGCCACAACACACGCCTGAGTAACAAACCCTACTGTCCTCATCAGGATGTTTTATTTTAAATTCCCCTCTTTACTATCTAGCTCTCTGGGTGCTTTGATTCATCAACATTGAAGCCAACATTTAATATCAGTACAATAAATATGGCCCTGCTGCTATGTATACATACATTCATTATGTGTAATTTAGATCTGAACATTATGTTGGTCCATCCCTAACTCAAAGACTCTGTTCTGAGAAAAACTTATTCAAAATATCTTAAATAAGTTTTGTTTCTGCATGTAACGTGCACCTGCAACTCTTTAATATAAAGATCACATTTCATATTGAGAGCCTGCCTCTTTTTATCCAGGAAACAAACTTCAAAGACATAAGAGTTCTGATAAAGAAAAATATTATTAAGCCTATTTAGATGAAGAAACTCCTGCAAATTAAGTTGTAACAACTTTATCTTGGTCCAATGTTATGCTTAGAATTCTTTGATATATTCTTAATTATACTATACAGTTGTCGCCCGCGTGGCGCAGTGGTTAGAGCGTCTGCTCTAGAGTAAGGAGTCAATCCTTACGTCGCGGGTTCGAATCCCACTGCGGGACGTGGAGACCGGTCCTTCAGATAAGACCGTATAAACCGAGGCCCCGTGTCGTAGTAGGTGCTGGCACGAAAAAGATCCCTCACTGCTCAAAGGCCTTGAGTGCCGAGCATAAGACAAAATTTGTAGCATTCCACCGGCAAGTGATGGCGTCTCCATATGAGTGAAAAATTCTCGAGAGGGACGATAAACAATATACACTCAATCAATCAATCATACAGTAAACTAAATACTCAAAAGTACCCTGAAAATAGGATGCAATGTTCAGAGGGTCGAAAGAACCCTCTATTTACACTGTTTTTGAACTTAGAAAAACTAATTTGGCATTAAATATGATGCATTAATTTTTCAATATATGAAGTTTGTCCTTTTTTATCCAGGAAAAATCTCATACAATGAAGTAATGATGAAGAAAAATTGCTTTTGCTTTCTCATGAGAAAATATTCAAACAGGGCTGCTTAAGGTTTCGTCAAAGATCAACATGTCTAAAAAATTATTTTTACAATAGCTCCAAAACTATGTGTGGTATAAAGTCGAAACGTTGACAGTTTATAAATATATCATTGATTTATATATAGAAAGTATCACTTGATGACAAATATTTTTAAAAAGATCTTTTTTTAAGAAAAATTGTATCAGAAAATGTGCATATTTAAAGAAAAATGCACCTGCTTAATTCTATACTTTTTGTGAAAACCATCATTGAAGAAATAATATATGTTTATCATTGAAGGGCAACTTGGACGTGAATGGTCTCTGAAAGGCTGTTATTGAAAGCATGACATGTATAAAGACAAGGCCCCTGTAGAATCCGCCATCTACACTGTACTTTCACTTTCAAGTCTTAACATTTGGACAAATTAAACAGGGAAAACAACTTTCCAGAGGCTATCCAAGACCAACTTGCCCTTCATTAATAAACATATTTTGTTTCTGCAATGAAGGTTTTCACTAAGAGCACAGAATTAATTAGGTGTATTTTTTTGAAAATATATGCATTTTAAAGAATTTTTCTCAATTTTTTTTTCCAAGTATTTCTTACATCAAGTGATACTTACTATCTGTTAATCAATGAAAAATTTATAAACTGTAAAAGTTTTAATTTTATACCTCACATAGTTTTGGAGCTATGGTAAAAATAAGTTTTTAGACATGTTGATCTTTGAGGAAACCTTAAAATTCATTTTATTTTCAAGTCTAATGGTGGATCAGTCTAACTACACAAAGATACCCTAAAATAAGGTTGCAGTGTGCATAGAGAGGTCCCTAACTGATGTTAAATGCTCACAATTAGGCCTATACATGTAGTTTTTTTTTTTTAATTCCATATGGTGTAGTTTCTCCCCATTTCCAAACTAAATATTAATTTGGGTATTATTTCACTTCAAATGTATTCAAACAAATAAATATATTAATCTTCCTTCACCAGCACTCATAAGTGAGCAAGAAAATTGTTAAAAATACTCAAATTTGAACAATAAACCAATATTTAACTTAAAGTCATTATAATAATAAATCTTTAATAATTTCATTTAATTTCTATTTTTAGTTAGCCACAAGCATACACAACATACATGCTAAAATGCAATCATACATGGCAAAAACACATAATAAATAACAGCGTTAAAATCAGAAGTGCTGACCATTAATGAAGTGTTATAAATGCATAGATAACTGCATACTGTAGGACAAATTATATATTCTGAACATACATTTTCAGCACAGTTATATAGATATGTCAACTTCACAGATTCATTTCTCCCTATCACAATATCCTGCTTCTGATTAATAAAACATTGTATCTACACTCTCCTATCCAGCACCTATGACACTTGATAATCAAACATAAAAAATATTGCCTTTGCCTCTTTGTTAATTAATAGTTAATATAGCAGTTAATTTGTTTTTATACTGTAAATAACCTTTTCTTTTCAAGGAATCTTTTATTCTATATTCATGTCTGAAATTATCTGTGACTGTTGTTTTTGTCACTGAGGAAACCTTCAAATCAATAAATAATTTACTTCAATAAATATTACAAGGAAATAAAGGTTGGAAACTTACAAATAATTTTTGTAGGTGAAAAAAGTTATACAAGTACAATATATTTACTAATGAGTATGAAAATAAGTATTTGGGGTCATGGGCAGCAATCAACTTATAATTATTAAATGTTTAGCTTATTCTAGTAAATAAATATTAATAATTTAATGAAAACTGAAATGAAGCAAAACATTTGCCAAAGGGTAATCAAGTCAAGTGATTCAAACTAATGACATTTGAACACATACATCTAAAAAAAAAAGTAAAATTTACAACTTTTCCAAACAAATCTATTCAGATATTCAAAATGATAAACAGAAACATGCAAATGAAATTATGTCAATGTTATTTGATCAGAGTCTTTAACATGCATAAAATAAATGGCTGGTATATGGTACAAATGTAAACATTATAAGTGACAGAGTGTGTAGTATGTTAACACATTACAGCACCTATGCAAGATTTCAGTGCTGTATATTGTCTTAGAATTTCGGAGGGTCTCTTGAAAAAAAAAAAAAACACTGTCTGTTCTCCAGCCTGGATTGAATTCCTTTGTAGCTGGTGAGTTATTTTTAAATCCTGCCTAGCGAGACCACCCACACCCTCAGCACGAACACCCTCCTTCCTTGTGCTCCGGTTCTACGGGGCCTGTGTCCTTCAGTTTAACCTCCGTCACTGAGGTCAAAGGTTAAGGAAACAAAAAATAAATAAAAAAAAGCAAAATACTACCAAAACAAATCTTTTACAACATGAAATGATGACCTTTTTTTCCAAAGGAATTGTTTTTTAAAAATCATTCTGAAATATTAAAAAGATTCTTCACTTTTTCTTTAAAAAGGAATCACCCAAACAAAAATAAAATGAGATGATAAATCTAATGCAATCAACTGAATATGATTATATGACAGGGATATTAAACATTTGACCTTTCAAATGATTCAGTAAGTGTTATCAAATTATGATTAATTCAAATCAGATACTATGATGGAAGAATAAAATGAATTCCCTTCCATTATCTTTAGAAGACTTCCTCCATCGAGTGGGGTGTTTTAATTTTGAATCAGTAATACTGGTAACAAAGAAGACGAAGAAGAAAGAACTAAAGTGTTGTGTTATAAAATAATTCCAGTAAATACTTTTTTATTTGTATGAAGTTTCTGAATATCTACATCATGCGTATCAGTTCCTCAATAAGTGTAATCAAGCAATCTATAACTCAGTATCTACCAATATTCAGTTACACTGCCATGCATACTGAAAATAAAGCAATTCATGCAAAAATGCAAACCACTATCTCAATGCAGAATTTTTTTTAATTCATCAATTATTTGTACTTTTTAAGAAGAAATGGAGATGCTTACCCTTGCTTGCTTACAAGGTATTATTTGAAGTCAAGAAACATTATCAACATTTTGTTGTAATTCTGAGACCTAGAATTATTGAGAACTTCAGGTGTTTTTTATCAGCATGTTCCCATTAATACAGTATCTGATACCTTAAAATGAAGGTATGTTTCAATACTTATTGCTGATAAATTTTTCACAAAGTCCTGTATGACATAAACTGAGATCACTGAAAGACTTAATGATCTTCTTAGCTACTTCCTGTCTCGACTAATTACTCCTTAAAGATTCCATCTCACTGTGAAAAAAAATTATTTTCAGCTAAATCAGAATTTGCAAATTTTCTTTCCCTCTCCCAAAGCAAGCAAAACTTTTAAATGCTCACTAAAAATACAATCAAACCTCGTTATCTCAAACTCAATGGACCAAAAGACCTTCATGATATATTTGGATTTGAGGTATTGAAGGGTAAATACAATGTACTTAATAATATGTGAATGGCACTTCAAAAACATTTTGACAATATCCACAGCATTTGAGATATCAGTGTTTGAGATACTGAAGTTTAAATGATTAGTCTACTGCAAATGCACTTGTATATACCTTTATGCATAAAAAACTTAAGTATTGAATGATACAAATTAATAAAAGCCTAATAATGTATTTACTGAAATACTAATATACTTAAAGATTAAATAGGATCCAAAATTATGTCTTGTAAACCTGACCAGACAATAAATACAAGCTAAAGGCTCCAAGCAGATTAACTCGAGAGAGCCACACTTACCATTCAGCATCCCTAACTGGGGCTGTCACGGGTAACCCAAATGACCGAGAACCGCGGAACAATCAATTCGGGTGGGGTTTGGTTCTGTTTTTCCAGAATTCGGTTTGGTTCTGATTTGTACAATAAAGTAGGTTTTACCATAAAACAGCGTCTTAAACAAAAGATTTGTTAGTGTGGATATATTTCGACCATTATTATAATAATAATATGTGATTTGAATCATTTGGTTCAATTATTTTTATAGTCAGGATACTACTTTAAACTAGTCATTATGTTACTGTTTGTTAGATTGAAAAAAAATTTAATAATTTAGTTGAATATAATTCAATTCTTGAGTTTTTATTCTATTAAATTTACTGTGTTTTCACTGTGTTTTTCTACTAAGCTAACTGTGAAATTGATTTTATACCATTTTCGTGTAAACTCGCGTGTAGAAATATACACGGAGAAATGTGCGATTACATGACGTCACAATAAGGCTACAGCGACGTTGGTAAAAGTATATCGATATCGAGCAGCGAAAAACTTCAAATATTGAGTATATTTTTGGTGCTTTCAAACACGTAAAATGTAAATATAAGGAATGTTTATAAGTTAAGTGTGAATTATTGGTGCTTGAATCACACAGACTTGCACGTAGACATATTTTTCATGAAGCGCTAGCTCGCTTCATGAAATATGCCTACGTGACAAGTCTGTGTGATTCACACACCAATAACTCACACAAAACTTAAAAACATTCCTTAATTATACACAGACTGAAAAAAACTGAAATCGAACCAAAAAAATTTAGAACCAACCCAACCGAAAGATTATGGAACAGTGACAGCCCTTTCCATAACATTAATCATTACAGGACATCGATAAAGAAAAAGGATACTCTCTCCTTTCTTTGTTTCTGTTTGTTCCATTCCTGGTAATGCTGCAGCGACTCGCCGGAACAACTGTATGTAAAATATATCCCATGTCATACTTCATCTCATTTACATGTTCACAAATAGACAAATAAGGAATAATCTTAGATTTTAAAATAGCTAATGAAATTCAATTTCTTGTTTTGGTTTTAGAATAAAAGTCTCAATAAGAAGAATATTCAACAATAAGATAGCAAGTTAAACAGAAATAAATTTAAGTACAGTGAAATATCAGTATTTCGAAGTTGAGGGGACCTGGACACGACTTCGAGATATCCGGGGGTTCGAGATATCCGAAGTTATCTTCCAAAGTCGAATCAACGATGTCCCGTTTTTTCGTTTATCTTCATGCGTAACATTATCCTGTATTACAAAACATGCAGTCTTTATGGTAAAGTCTCAGGCATATTTGCAATAAATATTAAGAAAAACAATGCTGTTGTTTTCTTTATCATGTATAATTGTAAACAATTTAAGGTAGATCGCGGGTTTACTGTCTGCCTGAAAACATACTCCGAAAATTTGTCAACTTAATCCTCTCGATTCAAATTTTACTTTCTGAAATTTTTGTGAGATTCGTCTGCGTGGTTATATTGTTATCGTCTTTCAAAGGCACTAATGTTGATGAGAACTGGTGACGCTATTACAATGAAATATATAGTAAATGCGCCTTTCTCACCAGTAAACGCATTTCAAAACCATGCTTATAATATAAAAACGGCGCAGACGAATTTTATATTACTCAACACGATGAATGTGAGATAAATTTCGAATCGAGCTATCAACAGAAATTAATATGTGTTCTCGCTCATTTTCTTGCAAAAAAACTTTAAAGTTTTACAAATTTGTAGCAAACGTATATAATTTCATTAAGACGTTATATATTTACGTACGTCTCAGAATCACAATGTAATCAACAATTCACTGAAAATAAAAACTTTTTTATCCGCATTTTCAATTTTTCCTTGATTGACAATAAATATTCATGTAAACATTGTCATAATTTACCTAAATTGTCACACTTTTTTCAATGAAATACGGAGTCATTTTATTTGAATCAATTTTGACCTTTCATATTTTAACATTATATATACTCTTAATTTAATTTAGTATTGAATAGCTATTAATTAATCCTTTATTTTTTATTGCATTATTAAATAAATTTTCACAGACAAAACAAGCTTTAATGTTTGTTTTATTTTATGATGCATACTGATGGAAATACTTTTTGCTTGTTTGTAGTTTGATACTGTAAATGTAATAAGCTTTTCACGTCGAATCCAATTGTGACGTCAGCAAACCCGCGATCTACCTTAATATGCATGCCTTATTGCATAATAGATTTACATTTTCAAAATTTTGATTTTCAAACGGGATGTATCATTAGCGTTATGTTGAAGAATTCTTTGCTTAAAATTTTGCAATTTTTTAAAAAACATTTGAATTTAAAATTTAATGCAAAATGTTTTTATAAAAGAATTAGTATTCAAAAGTTATATTGATATTAAATTTTACATGTATAACATTACGAAGTACTACTAAGGAACACATACTTACACAATATATCATGCAAATGGCGGTCAAGGTTCCAAATATTTGTTTTCAATTGGAAATTAGCAAATGTAAAGCAAATGAGTCATTTTGGTACATTAAAACACCATGTTATTTTTTCTTTGATAAATCAAGTTTTGTTCTATACCCTTTTTACATTGAACTCACCAGGTTTTAATTAAGATATATATGGGGAAAGGTGAATTAACAGTATTCAATGTCAATAAAATTGACAATGGTAATGTCTTAGAGAAATATGGAAAATTTGGATGCCATTGAAAATGATCTTGAAGAGTCTTCAAAAAAAAAAATTAAGTACTGGTTACTGTCAGATTTATTTTTTTGTAAACAAACAAACAAAATGCACATTGAGAATGATTTAAAAACTATAGTGATTAATAATGCCAAATTGCGAAGTGTGTAAGTCTCGAGAGCACAGGTGTGTAAGCATGTAAAATGAAAAAATTCAATGCACATTGAGAATGATTTAAAAACTATAGTGATTAATAATGTTCACAAATTGTTTAAAAATAACTCCTCTCGGGAGCACAATGTAAGCATGTAAAATGAAAAGGGAATAACAAATAATATTATGAAAATAACAACCATGCATATTAAAACCTTCTCAGATTTGTTGAGATTACCCTTTTGCAAGTATTTGACAATACATGTGAAAATGATACAAAAACAGTGTATCGTCACGAAATTAACGCAACATATTAATAAAGTAATTTTAAAAAAAATTAAGTTTGAAAAAAAAAATTAAAATAAAATGATTCTTTTCTTTTTAAAAATATCAACTTTTAATTTTTTTCAAGGCCTTACATAAAAACATGAACAGTATGTGACAGTTTGGTCAAAAATTGACAAAATGTGCATTAAATTTCAACCTTCTTTGTTACTATGTTTATATGAATTAAAAAGGTAATCAATAGCAAAGATAGCACATGAATCTTTTATTTAAAAAAACTCTATGCAATATTAAAAAAAAACATAAAGATGTTAGGTTCTCCCTTTCTTAAAACACAGAACAGAACTTCACTGTTTATACTCTTAATATTTATGTCTAAATAAATCCAAATATGATATTTCTTTCATATATAATAAAATATAAACATTTATAGCAAATAAACTTAAAAATTTTAAGTCAATAAAACAAAATTTGTCTGATACTTTTGACTAAGGAGTGACTGTCTATAATTCTCTACAGTTTACACTGTCAAATATTGTGTTGCTCAAATTCATGATGAGAAATTTAAAAAAGAGCAAAGTTAACTAATTCTTTTGAGAAGCTAAATTGTTTTCTTGTGTTGTAGCAGTCAGTTAAGTTTTTTGAATTATATACAATGTATATATTTTTTCAAATCTGAATTTTAGAGATTTTGTATCTAAAATATTAGTACAACCTCAACTGTTCATTAAAGCAATTTTTGCTTGTATATTTCAAACAACAATATTACTCTATTTGTTTGACATTTTTTAACCTCAACTATTGAAATTCAGTTCTGAATATCTTCACTTATAATCTAATAGAAGAGTTTTGAAGTTGATGTGAAAATTTCTCGACAGATGTGGCATTGACTACCCCTCTCTTCCAGTTCAGCAGTACACACTGTGCACGCAATGTGGCCACATGGTACAAAAAATGTATCACAGAACCGATCTGTACATATTGGGCAAGTTGGGATTTGTGGCATTCTCAACACCTAGAGATAAAAATAAATATTTAGTAAGTGCTACAAACAACCAATGACTAGACTGGTACACATTTTCCAAGTTAAACATTTATGAACAGATATCTGTGAGCCATTTTTTTTTTTTTTTTTTGCTCACTAGTGATATCCCCACTCTGAATTGAAAATACAACTAAAATTGTAAATTAACAGGAATCTGATATCTAATTATTAAGAAAATGGGTGCCCTATATGACATACTTAACCATAGAGTGCGTTAAAGAACTATGCATGCGGACTCTTGATTCCTGCCTAAATTTTACACCAATTAAATTAAATACTGGCAATTTGGCGGTAAAATCTGTTTAATGCAAAGAACAGTTCAATGGTAATTGACTGATAATTTTAATTCCAGTGTTAAATAGTTAATATACCCCTAGTTCAAACTCTTTCAATAAGGGGGGATGATATTTTCATTGAAATTGGGCTTTAAAGCATCATCATATTACAAAATATCCTTGGCTATGAATAAATGTTCCTTAAATCTTTTCTTATATATTACTCATATAAATTTAACATATATTATTAATGTAATACAATGTTTAAGATGTAAACATTTTTGAAATTGGTGAAAAAATAAGCATATGAATAAGCGAAAAAAAAGAAAAACAAGAAATCTGTGAGCCAATGCTCACTAGTAATACCCCCGCTCTGATGTAAATAAGCACTATTATGTTAATATACACAAGTTCAATTACAGGCAGATGCATAGAAAATATGAAGTTTACATCAGATTCATATCAAAATTAATCCCACCATATGGCATGTCTCAACAAAGAGTGTAATAAGATTTCAAGCATCTGCTATGAATAGCTAATGAGGAAACTGCGACGAAGATTTGTTATATATGAAACGGACAGACGCACAGACAAACAGATAGTTGACATAAGATTTTAACAGAAATGTATCCCACCATATGGCATGCCTCAGAGAAGATTGTGTTAAAATTTCAAGCATATGTGATGAGTTGTTGCTGAGAAAACTGTGACGAAATTTTTTAAGTATGAAACGGACAGATGTACAATCAAACAGGAAGTTGACATCAGATTTCAACAAAAATGTATCCCAATATATGGCATGCCTCAGAGAAGATTGTGTTCAAGCATCTGCAATGATTAGTTGCTAAGAAAACTGTGACAAAAATTTGTTATGTATGAAACGGACAGACACATAGACAAACAGGAGGTTGACATCGGATTTGACCAAACATAGGTATTCAGAGATTACAGAGCTCACCTCAACGAATGTTGTCTTTAAGTAAGGCAAAGTCACACAATTAACCAACAAAAAGTGTACATTCCAAAAATGAAAATATTTAAGCAATTTTGATCTGATACTTAGATGAGAGTTTTCATCTCTTGATGCAACATTTGTGCAAGTTTGGATTATACAATGTTATATAAGCCTTATAGTTTTTTGGTAATAGACCTGCACCCATAACTTTTACCTGGTCTATTATCTGAAAAATGTATATCGAATTCAGCATCTGAAGCAAGTCCGTTAGTGTGCATCCTAAGATGTATCGTCCATGCAAGTTTGCTCATTATAGGGCTCATAGTAAATTGGAAATGAAACATGCATCAAAAACTAACATTTTCACTCATCCACAAAAACTAGGTCAGATTCAGCATCTGAAGCAAGCCTGGTAGTATGCATCCTTAGATGTATCGTCCATGCAAATTTGGTCATTAAAGAACTCATAGTTACTTGGAAATGAATCACACACCAAAAACTTTAACCTATTGTAGTATGCATCTTTAGATGTATCCTCCATGCAAGTTTATTCAACATAGGGCTTATAGTTACTTGGAAATGAAACCTGCACCAAAAACTTTAACCTGTTCACTCAACCGGAAAATGATGGTCAGATTCAGCATCCGAAGCAAGCCTGGTAGTATACATCCTTAGATGTATCATCCATGCAAGTTTGGTCAACATAGGGCTTATAGTTACTTGGAAATGAAACCTGCACCAAAAACTGTAACCTGTTCACTCAACCAGAAAATGATGGTCAGATTCAGCATCCGAAGCAAGCCTGGTAATATGCATCCTTAGATGTATCATCCATGCAAGTTTGGTAAACATAGGGCTTATAGTTACTTGGAAATGAAACCTACACCAAAAACTTTAACCTGTTCACTCAACCAGAAAATGATGGTCAGATTCAGCATCTGAAGCAAGCCTGGTAGTATACATCCTTTGATGTACCATCCATGCAAGTTTGGTCAACATAGGGCTTATAGTTACTTGGAAATGAAACCTACACCAAAAACTGCACCAAAAATGTTAACCTGCTCCAAAAACATTAACCTGGTTATTCCTTTGCTGAAATTGCAGCATCTGAAACTTTGACTGGTACAATGAACTACACTAGAACCATCTTCCATGCATGTCTAATCAATATAGGACATAGAAGTACTTAAAAAGAAAACTGCTCCAAAAAACTTAACCTGGGACGCCGACGCCGACACCGACACCGACACCGACGCCGACACCGAGGGTATTACATAAGCTCCCCCAACTTCGTTGAGGTGAGCTAAAAATGTATCCCACTATATGACATGCCTAAGAGAAGACTGTGTTAAAATTTCAAGCATCTACAATGAGTAGTTGCAGAGAAAACTGCGACGAAAACTTGTTATGTATGAAACGGACAGACACATAGACAAACAAGAAGTTGACATCGGATTTGACCAATAATGTATCCCACCATATGGCATGCCTCAGAGAAGACTGTTTTAAAATTTCAAGCACCTACGATGAGTAATTGCTGAGAAAACTGCGACGAAAATTTGTTTCGGACGGACACACAGCTAGACAGACAGACAGACACACAAAGGTAAAACAGTATACTATACCCCCCTCTCCTTCGGAGCAGGGGTATAAAAAACTATTTTTAGCATTAAGGTCACAAGGTCACTGATCTTAATGTCATTTGAAAGAATTTATTAGTGGAGTATGCATACGAAAAATGAAGTCTGTATCTCCTATGGTTCAAAAGTTATGGCGAAGGTTCGAAAAAGCTATTTTTAGCATACAGGTCACATTCAGGGTCACAACTCACAAGGTCATTGACCTTGGTGTCATTTATATGAGCTTAAAGGCAGAGATTTTTTACCGGGTGGTAAATTCCAGGTGAGGGAGTGGCTTATTTTATACAGGTGTGAATGCCTGGGGGGCCAGCAGTCTACCTTTGGCCAACTGTCTCCTAATCCTTATACACAGGAAGTGAAATACCCAGATGCCAAACTTTACCTGTGTTGGGGATTTTGAGACAATTCTAAAATTAATAATAAAATGGTTTTTCAATTATACCAGTATATTGATTTATTTTTGACTGTTTGAAAATACCCCTACCCATTAAAAAAATTATTATGATATCATACTATTAATTCAAATATTAAAACAAAGATCGTCTTAAATGTTTAAATTAGTGTATGTGTTTTAACTAAAGAAAAAACAACTTCTGTAACATCCAAATTAGTCTAAATTCATTCATCCCCAGGATCCCATCTAAAATTAATATCAGAATTTCACTTGAAAATTTAAGTTTTATGTACCACAGGTTAATGAAAAAAATACATATTATATTATAATCCTTTCAAATACTAAAGGTATATTTAATTCTTATACACGTATTATCAAGACAAACATTTTCATAGCAATACAGTTTCTCTATACCGTGTTCAGTAAACATCAAAGGATCGCGAGTTAATTTGAAGGTCCCCCCAGTCCCAAACAAGGTGTACCGGGTATACACAGGGACAAGTAAGTAAATGTCAATCAAGTTCTAGCATCCAATGATGGACCCTCATGCACTTGATTGACAGGGCTACCCAGACCATGTATTTTTGAAGGCGGTGCTTAAAATCTCTGCCTTTAATAAGTGAGGTAAGCATACCAAATATGAAGTCTCTATCTCCTATGGTTCAAAAGTTACGGCAAAATTTCGAAAAAGCTATTTATAGCACGTAGGTCACAGTCAAGGTCACTGACCTTGGTGTCTTTTGAAAGAACTTTATAAGTGGAGTACGCATACTAAATATGAAGTCTCTATCTCTCAAGGTTCAAAAGTTATGCCAAAGTTTAGAGTTTACAACAGAAAAACAGATATTAAAACAGACAAACAGTTAAACAGACAGGACAAAAACAATATATGCATTGGATCTATCGATCTGGGCACATAAAAAATGATAAAATTAGGAATGCAGCTACCTCAAACCAGATGCATGTGGGTCTGAGATATATATATATTAGTGCTGTGCGATATTACCGGTTAACCGGTGTATCCCGATTTCGTTCTTCACAATATGTATTGCGGTATTTTTTTGTGAATACCGGTTCGGGTTCGATATGCTATTAATTGTTATAAAAAGAGTTATTTACCCTTTTCAAGGTAAAATATGGCGGCAAGCACCGTGAAGTTTGATCGGTAACCAGAGACATGTCTGTCAGAGACGAAAAGACGACAACTGTTACATGAAAGCCCTTCATGTTAAAGCAGAATCTGAATATTACAACTTGATTCTTAACCCTTTCAACACTGTAGACCTCCATAACGGTCTGATAAAATTTCTCCTTTCAACACGGTAGACCGTTGTGGAGGTTTTAGATACAAAACTGAAAGTAACATGTTTATTCTTAGAAATAGAAAGTATTCTCTGTGCAAAATCTTCGCTATGAACTATGAGTAATTTGATATAAACATCCTGTAACAAATATGGTGGACCACATGGCAAAAATCACGGGAAAAAAGGGAAAAATAGACGAATTTTTAAAGGAAACCAAGAAACTTGCAAAATGGCGGTAAACATCGAAATGTGCGATGTTTCTGGGGACGAAATCTCAAGTAAAAACATGGATTTGGACATTATAAACGTTCATAGACATTAAAGATATGCGTAATAAACACTGTTGTGAAAGGTAGTCGGAGAAACTTGACTTGGAATCGGACCATGAAGGCTCCAAGATGGACCGCGTTTACGAAGCCCCGGACTTCTCTCAATATACAAGAACACCATGTTTTTATTTATTTATTTTTTGGACTTATTTTTTCAAAGAATAATGACATGTTGCATATCATTTTAATCGGAAATAATTTCTCTTTTAAATGATGGTAAGAACATATGTGATTTTGAAACTTCATAGCAGCAAATTTATCAAAATATTACGTAAGATAATTTAAAATACAAAATATTTTTTTTTATTGGCGCTTTTGTCTTTTTAAATAATTTTAAATGCATATAAATTTCATACCATCTAAAAGAAAAATGTCTTACCTTTCTTATGATGTGTCTTTCATTAAAATATTTTAATAAATAAAGAAGTTATTGTATTTTTTCTAATGGTAGATGAATTTTCTAATGACGACACAAGTTACTCAGTGTACTGGGGTTGCTTGTTAAAAGTTACTCAGTGTTGAAAGAGTTAAAGTTGTGCCACAAAAAACTTAGCTTGCCACTTGCGTACACACAACGCTATCAGGCAGTTGCAATATCAACTCGAGAATACATGTAATTTGAGTTTGTATTTTCATTTAACATTGATGAAAAGCAAAATTTATTAAAAATTTTATATTGTGATATATTGCAATACAAAATATAATATTGCAATATATCGCGATACGATTTTTCAGCCGCAATACCCAGCTCTAATATATATATATATATATATAATGTCAATTTTACTTGTATAATTAACCATTACTGATAAAGAAGAGTCATATGAGCTTGATATCGAAATGTACTCACTTAGTAATATCATACACTAACAAACGGTACTTACTAGTTACATCATAACAACAGTACTTACTAGTTATATCATACACTACTACTGCTACAGAAGAATCCCGTATGTAGCTTGGTATCAAACTTCTGAACCTCTCTTGTCCAGCTGTATCCCAAAGCTGTAGTCGTATCTAAAAATAAAAATTACAAAGTATATGCTGAGGCTTATATAAAAAAACTGCTTACAGTATGAAACTACTGCCAAGCAATGTATCTAAAAAAAAAACATACTACATGTACTTACAGTCCTGTCTTCCAAATACATTGTCTTTGATAAAAAGTCAATTCCTATTGTTGCCTGTAAAGATAAAAAAAATATGTTAGATTTCTTATATTACTGAAAATACAATTGTGTATTTCCCAATTTCGTGATTTTTTCAGTGTTTTATTTCATCAAACTTCATTATAAAAAAAAAGTTTATTAATTTGAAAATTAAAATAAAGTCCATTTACACATGACATGTGCTTGATTGATTTGAAATGTTATTGATAAATACAACAAACACATTTACGAAACGAATTTTAGTCTAGGCTTTCTGTCCTGACAATAACATAAATGTCCACAAGTGACCCAGTCGACATCAAACAGAATCCTCACTTCGGTTCGTATCTTCCATGACTTTGGTTTCAGTAGTATGCAACTAGTGAACTTCAATCCCAATTGAATATGAACTCAATGTTAATATAGTGATACAAATCGGGATCAAAGTCTGGTTTTTATGCACAGCTTCCGTCTTGAAACTACCGATTAGCTTTCAACAGTCGTTCTTTTTATTATTTATAGACTCCTTTACATTAAAATGCACTTGTCCAATTGGACAAGTGCCATGCAATATATCTTGTCCGTATTTTCTTTTCACTCAGGGTTCGACACTAACGGTAGACCGGCGGCCCGAGTCCACCAAAAAATTGGAAGGTCCACCAAATGTTCAGGACTAGGTGGACCGTCGGTCCACTTAAAATTTAAACACCATATTTAAAGACAGTGAAATCCAGGATTTCTTTTTCTTTAAATTGAAATTCGTAACTCAAATTATTAATTCCTCCATACTTTTATTATACAAGAATTAAATATACATGTAAATAATGTTTAGGTAATGAGGTGGGGGCAAGTAACTCGATATATTTTACATGTAAAATCGATAACTCCAATATTAATATAATATTGAGACACAAGAACATTCAACACGGACCTTGAATAGGCCTAAACATGAAAAATCCGTGCCAAATTAGCCAGTCTATCCCCTGTTTACGTAATGCACAGAAAGGTGTGAAAATTTCACTGGGTATCAGGAAATCGCTTCACGCCTGAACGCACACTGTTGGAGATAATTAGAATTGATTGACAGCTGCACTTATGCATTGTTTTTTTTAAATAGATGTTCAAACAGGCATAATTTACAGTAAATGAACTATTATCTGCAGTTTCATTTTCTTTTTTTGATATACATATTATATCACTACTTATTTGAATAAATAATAAATTTAGAAAATAATTAATTAATACAGATACATGTACTTATGTCAGTTTTGCACCGTAGTAAAAAAAATGATCTAGCCATGGATACATGAAAAATTCACTTGTTTATTAATTGAATAAATTCATTAATAATTGGAGTTTTAATCTACCTGTGGAAGCGAAACAAATGCAGGCTTTCACAATTGTAACTTAATGATTTATAAAAATATTTCTTTGGTTTATAGATTAATAGTTTTTTTTTTTTAAGTTTTACGATATTTCTTTAAAAAAAATCTGACTAGTCCTTAATATTAATTTGATTCTGTTGACTGGTTAGATTTATGCTTTATCATGTTTATTAGTCTGTCTGGAATCAATATATATTACAGTTAGTTTTAATTAACGCCTTGTGTAATGATTCATTCATTAATTCAAGCATTTATAAGGGTCCACCAGATATTAAGAAGGTCCACCAATAGTTTTTGACAAGTGGACCTGCGGTCCACCAAGGTAAAAAAGTTAGTGTCGAACCCTGTCACTGGTACCGGACAAGCGTTAATGTCGAGCCCTGTATATTCATATACCTTTATAACATATATAAGACATGTTAGAGATAAAAGTTAAATGAGAAGTATACTGTGAAATCACAAATTTTCTCAGGGGTTTAATTTTTGTTGTTTTCGAGGATTGAATTCATGTCCACCATGTAAAATTTTATATACAGTATTAAACATACATATATCTGTTCAATAATTCTTCATCGGGATTCCACAAAATCAAAATCCCATGAACCTAGATTTTTTCTTCAAACCATGAAAATTAAACCCCACAAAAATATGCGATTTTACAGTAAATTTGTACCTGATAGGTGTTGTCAAAACTGTCGTACATAAACCTTGTAATTAGAGAGGTCTTCCCAACTGAAAATAAGTAAAAATTCAGCAACTTCAAGTTGAGATCAAGATCAAAGAGTTAATCAAAATTTTATGAAGTTGAAATTTGGTTCTTAAAAAGAACTACAGTATCTATGGATGTTTGAGATAATATGTTTTTAAGAATTCCTTGTCTCAGAAGAAATGGATACATTACAATTTACATGCACATGTAAATTTTTTTTTGAATGACTCAATGAAGTTGTAAATATATCAACTTACCTCCCATTTCACCAAAAAGTGATAATTTGAATTTGTCAATTCGATTCCAATCAGTCATTTTATAAATCTAATTTTCTTTTTTCTAAGTAGCATAAAGTCGTGTTTCTCTTGTCAGTATTTACTAAGTGTCTCCACGCTGGAAGTAGGCAACGAAATATACACACGCGCATGACTCATAATCAGATTGCGTTTTGTTTACAATGTCGGATTTTTTTTCCAATTCGGAACACCTGATGCACATGAACTTTTTGGTAAAATGTCGGAGGAGACAAATATGAGACCCAGCCCTAACTGAGACGTTGCAGGATGTGTGATGAGATTACTTGACACATAAACTGACAGGTTAACTTACCGCTCTGCTCCCCCAGAAATACCAGCTTAAATTTCCTTAACGGGTTGCCAAATTCACCCGAGGAACTCATTGTGGAATAAATTAATTGTTAATATCACAGTTACAGATACAAATCAGCAAATAAATCACAAATCTCATATATATTAAATTAATTATAATCAGTCTTGACGTAGACACGTTTGATGAACCAATTCCCCTCAATGCGCTTGCGTGAAAATGACGGAAGCAAATTCTTGGTCATAACAACGTTTGCAAGGTTTTTTTTTTAAATTACTAAGGCGCGAACACTTGAACTTCAACAAAATTTTACATATTTTCCTTCCTTCCTTACTTACTTCATTATGCCTGCCACCCCTTTGGGGGCATAGGTCGCTGACAAGATTCCTCCAGGCTCCTCTAATATCTATCCAGTGCAATCGTTTTTTAATTTATTTCTTTCCAGTTCTTCTCAAATCTTTGTATGCCTCCAAATCTATCCCAGGCGCGGATCCAGTAATTGAAGTTAGAGGGGGCGCCAAAGGTAGACAAGGGGTCTGGGGGCCGCCTTGAGGCCCCCAGTGGCTCCAGGGCAAAGCCCTGGTGGGGGCCCAGGGGGCGAAGGCCCCGGAAGCTCCTGGATTCTAGAGATTTTGTAGGGTAAAAATGAGGTCTACCAAGTAGACATATTTAAATTTTCTAGACGAAACTGTGATTTATGTTAACTTTGACAATTTTTGGGGGGGGGCGCCGGGTGCGCCCCCCCTTAAATCCGCCACTGTATCCACCAGGTGTTCTTTGGTCTGCCTCTTTCATTTGTCTTGGGGGCTCCAGGATAGGACTTGCCTTGTGATGTTATTGTGGGCCTTGCATAGAGTATGCCATATCCATCTCGACCTTCTCTGCATTATTTCTTCTTCTATAGGGGCTTTGTTTGTTCTTTGACACAAATCGATGTTGCTGATTTGGTGTGGCCATCTTATCTGGAGTATGCGTCTCAGACAAGAGTTGATGAATGTCTGGATCCTGTTTGTTGTTGTGACAGCCATCCTCCATGTCTCAGAACCATAGAAGAGTACAGCCTAAGTAACATTGCTGTTAAAAAGCCTAACTTTGGTGCGTGTTGTAATTGCCTTGGTCTTCCAGATGTTTCCAAGTTGCAGGAATGCTACTCTGGCCTTTCACTATTCTTGCTTTTATGTCCGCTTCCGTTCGTCCTTGTTGGTCCACTATGTTATACTGCCAAGGTAGGTGAAATGTTTTACTTCCTCTCCGACTTTTTTTCCCAACATTACTTTTACTATTGGAAATGTTCAGTGAAAGGCTGGTTGCCCCCCCCCCCCCCCACTTTATACTACATGAAAGTGATTTAAGGGAAATGTAGTGTTGAATATGAAAAAGGGGTACTGAGAGAAAAGTTGGCCTCTACACCCCCCCCCCCCCCGAAATAGGGTTTTCGAGTTTGAACAATTTCCTATATTTTGCTTGTCAACTTTTTCAAGTAAGTAAAAAAAATTTTTCTCTGCCTGCCCCCTCCCCCCCCCCACTTCCAAAAATGATGCTACGTGGCTGTCTATATATCCTTTCCATCTGTAACCAATGAAGTTTGTGATAGTGTGTTTGCTTTTAAGATCTTTGTTTTTGCAATATTGATGTTGAGCCATATGATATCTGTGCTGATGTTTCTGTCTCCGTTGTAATTTTCTCCTGCATTTGTTCCTGAGTATGATACGAGTGCCAGGCATAGGTCATCCACGAAGTCTAGATCATCTAACTGTGACCATGGTGACCACTTTAATGCATTTCCCCTGTTGTCTGTGGATGATTTCATTATCCAGTCTATTGCAAGAAGAAACAAAAAATGATGACAGTAGCCATCCCTGACGAACTCCTGTTCTTATACTTCGAATGGCTCTGTCTGACAGTACTGTTGTCCTCCACGTATGACCCTGCATGTCAGGTGTTCATAAGAGTTGTGCATGTTACATGTATTTATCAATTTACAGGGAAATCAATAATGTCGCAGAAGTTTCCATATTGTCTCCCTGTCAAAAATTAAAGGCTTTCTCATAATCTATATACCCCATTCATACGACATGATTTGCATACCTCAGTATATTTTACACATGAGTAAATTTACTCACATGTGCAATTTTTTGTCATATGAACTGATATACTCATATGCAAATTCTGCACAGTTGAGTAAATTTACACCTGGTCAGGACTAGGTGCAAATTAACTTTTGCATACACTTTGTAGCAAATTATTAGTTCAAGTGTGTAAATTATGTCGTATGAACACGCAGCAAATTTACTTATGTATGTATTTTGTTTTGTTTATTTGATAAATTTCCATTTTAAGTGTTGTTTTGCTTGTGTATGCATCGGCTCGTAAAAATCAGTCTGTAAACGTAGTCGCTAGAATGATTGATTGATTACGTATTGTTTAACGTCCCTCTCGAGAATTTTTCACTCATCACTTGCCGGTGGAGAGCTGCAAATTTTGTCCTATACTCGGCACTCAGGGCCATTGAGCAGGGAGGGATCTTTTTCATGCCAGCACCTACTGCGACACAGGACCTCGATCTATATAGACGGTCTCATCAGAAGGACCAGTCTCCAGGTCAAACAATGGGATTTGAACCCGCGACGTAAGTATCAACTCCTTACTTTGCGACTCTAGAACAGACGCTCTAACCACTGTGCGACGGCGACTTGGTGGCTAGAAAGCAAAGCTTTTTGTATTTAACAAGGAGCTATTATCCCCTCCGAGATAAATTTTCTAATTTGCAAAAACGAGGGCATCTTGTACCCTTTCTGGCAAATCTACCTTTATGTCTCTAAAGATATAGCTGTGTTCGCAAACAAGTATCCTGTGGTAGTATCCTTACTATTCAAGTTCTCTTCTTGGGAATGTTCTGGAGCAATGATAGGAACATGCATTCCATCAATCGCTCGTGCACCATTTCCGTTTAGATCTTGATGACTTTCTTCTACCTCTCTCTGTTTTTATAGGCAAGTACTCACATAAAAGTTAATGTTACAGGAATTTCAATAAACTAGTGAAAATAAGCATTCGTAAGTAACCTCCTTGGCACCTGATCTCATTATGAATGTCCAGGGGTTCGTGTTTATTTCTTTTTAACATACATGTATTTGTATTGTTTAAAGATTTTTGAGATCGATGATTTTAGATTTTTTTCATCCTTTTCATTATGCTGAAAAAAATAATTATTATATAATATTCAAGAAGATATTCTATAATGGCCTCGCACACGTGATGTACTTCAGATTTCCCAACAACAAACAAAGTTTTAAATGGTCCTATTTCTGCCGAAGACGTCAACTAGTAGATGGCAAGTCACCTTTTTCTTTACATCCAACGGCTCTTCTACAATCTTTGGAACGGAAGCCAAAACATTTTCCAACAATAAAGCAATATGAGCTGAGTTTTTGAGAAAATTATTTTGCTATCAAAATGTGTTATTATGATTAATTTGTATATAATTTAAACCAAAATAAAAGTTTTAAAATGTTTCAGAAGAAATGTTTCTGTACAGTCGAATATATAACATTATATATTAAGAAATCAATAATGCACAGGACGACAATAATGTCATTTTGCTTCAATTAAGCTTTAAAAAACTTCTTCAATCACAAATATGAACAACTGTAGATTATAAATGTTAAATGCTCTACCGGTATTTTTCTATCATTGAAATAGTTGATTACAAATTTGCAACAAAATTTTGCTATATCAATCGTTTTAGCTCATACCCAATAAGGAAATACCCCTTTTCTTTATAAAATCACAAATGTGAATCTGTCCATCTTCTAATATTAAAATATGAGGATTTACTTACAGCACATAAATTTCGTCTGAACGCATAGCAAATTAACTTATACTTACGTGTGTATAATTGCTTATATGTAAATTTGCACACATAAGTAAATTTTCGTCGTATGAATGGGGTATATGAAGCCAACATGCCATGAAAGGGAGGAGTTCAGTTCGGACTCCATTCAGCACATTGTTTGATGATAATGCGTAACGTTGCTGTCTGGTCCGTGCAAGATTGATCTATTTTTGTGAAATCAAGCTTGTTGGTCACGTAGCATATATCATCCTAGCTGCAATAATGTAGCCCTCTCCTTTTTTTGGGGGGGGGAGAGGGCTACAACTCCTTTGGATCTCCGTAATGGTGCAGAGCGGGAGCGATTCGCTCCCGCATGGATTTCGGCTTAAATTGTTAGTAAACGGCTATTTTATTTATATGTCTTACCTGAACTTCCAAAATGTAGTTATCCCAGACATAAATCGATCCAAAAATATACAGAACAATCCATATATCAGTATTTTTCGTGTATGTCAACATCACAACTTAAATTTATCCGCCATGTTTACTGACCTTGACAGATTTTATTTCGGGACAGCCAATGAGATTAAGGATCTATAGGGAGCGGATTTCTTTGGAATTACCTTATTTTAAGCTTAAATATCGGTGTTTACAAAAAAATGAAACATGGAATGATTTTATTTATCGATGTTTAGTGTTACTATTCATCACAATTATTTATAAACATCGACATTTGCTTTATTGAGTTGTTCTAAATTTCAAGCGCAAGTCTCACTACGTCACGCGTGAACTGTCATGGCTGCTGAAGTAAATGCACAGATTTATTTTATATGGTTTTCGCGTTTAACGAGCTTTGATGTCGACAGTGAATAAAAAATTCGTCTTATTAGAAGTAAGTTGATTGTGAAAACAATTTATTCTGCCTGCAGTCGCCAGTATTTACAAAATATTTTTGCACCATTACGGAGATGCTGTGGAATTGTAGCCCTCTCCAGAAAATACCAGATAAAAAAAATCGGTGAGGGCTACATTATTGCAGCTAATATCATCCGTCTCCTTCATTCTGTTCAGTATGATCCTAATAAATACCTTCCCTGGAATATCTAACAGCATTATTCCCTATAGTTGGCACACAACCGCCGAGGTCTCCTTTTTGGGGGGCTTGATGAGGTATCATTCTTTCCATTCTTCTGGAATTGTTTCTACCTCCCATATTTTTAGAAAAAACGGGAGGAGTATTATTTTCCTGGGAATATAAAATTATACGTTTATTATACATTAGATCTATTATATTTTATTCATGTGTATAAAGTGTAGAGTACTGGTAAATGACTTCAGAATCTACTTACACAGTCTTGATAATGAGTCTGACCTACAT